TATGTCCAAAATCCTGAGAGGAGAATGGAGGAGAAGGGATTGAGGTATGGCCTTCCCCCTGGGGAAAAAAATTAATTCAAAGCAGATATAACTAAACATATTAGTAAAATGAAAAAAATGCAGAAAAGTTTCTTAATCCTTTAACCTTGAACAATATGATTTTGTTATAGGCCTTTGCCATGTGTTTAACATTTCTTGCAAAATATGCTTATTGATAAATTAAGGGTGTTGCAATTACTCAATTCACCAAGTATGGAAAATGATGATTGTAGTTCTAAAATGGTCGGTATGATTATATGCAATAGACTATGGTACTTCATAGCAATAAGGCTAAGTCATTGTTACAAATATTTATTCAGTTTTTTCCCCTCTATATTAGAGGAGGATTGAGGTGATCAAGAGACATAGGAAGAGTTTATAGCTCTGGCCCAAGCAGAGGGTGTCCAGCCATTAAGGCAAGCTAAAAATAAGGGGCAAGTGTGATCCGTGAGGGTCTCCCTGACTTACCCCTGCCTCACAAGTATCTGATGTGTCAAAGGAGTGGTCCTAGCCATCTTAAATCTTGGACTTATGTTGAAATTCATGGTACGCCTCGGTAGTGAACATTTCCTATTTAGCCCTGGTGGTTTAGGCAATGACTAATTCTTGTTCATGGATTTTAAAATGGAGAACAGGCCAAGTAAAGTTACCTATTAGGATGACAAAACTGATTCCTATTCTCATGATGTTTAATTCTATGTGTTCGTTTTCTTTTCCTTCAGATTCTTATTAGTGTGTGACTCGGTTGGTTTTCTCCTGAGTGGGGCCTTCTCTGCAGGCTTCTGCTACTCTCATCTCTGAGCGCTGCTCATTTCTCCCATCCGTTTTCCATCTCTCACCGATTTGTTCCTGTCTCTTCACTACTTGTGTGCCTCTCCAATTTAATCTGTAGCTTTTACCACTTAAAAATATTTTCTATTCACATCTTAGTGGTGCTTCATGAGGAAGCAAGAGAAACATAAATGTGTAATCTGTCATATTTAATCCGAGTATTGTCTTCCAAAGCACCGGAACTTCAAGACCCACGCATTTATGAAAGTCTTTCCCCATAACTCTAGATGCTTCTTGATCCTTACCATGAAACAAAGTGATCATTTTCACTTTTTATATATTGTGTTTCTATAGCCATAAAGCTAACTCAATTAATTTTTTGTTACTTTATCTTAGTTTTAAAAGTTTAAAGCACCGAAAATTTTTACAAGAACTATACTTCAATTACTTTTAAATGGTTCAGTTTGTTTTACTCATTTTTTATTGTAATTTTTGAAAAATAATTCTTTAATTTTATTTATTCATTTATTTATTTTAATTTGGCCAGAGAGAGATACACAGAGAGAGAGAGAGAGGGAAAGTGAGAAAGCAAGCCAGCAGGTCTGGGACTCGAACCATGGCAGGTCATGTGAGAGTGTCCAGTGCCTTAACCACCACACCACCTGCTGGTACCATTTCTTTTTTATAATTTTTAATTGGCACATAATAGTTGTATCTATACACTGTGATTTTTCACTATACTAATGCAGTGTGTAACGATCAAAACAGGGCAAAAACTTATCCACCATGCCAGACATTTATAATTACTTCTGTATTGTGAGCTTTCGAAATCCTGTCTTCTCAACATTTTGAAGTGTACATTCACTTGTCACCGAGTGTAGTTGCTCTGCCTTGTTGTAGTGTTCCAGAACTCATTCCCCTTATCTCTTTAGTTTTTTATCTGTTACCCAAGTTCTCCCTATCTTCCTCTCCCAAGGCCCTCGAGCATGAAGTGGTTATTACTGGGGGATATCTACACATCTGTCTCCTAGAGGCATATGGTCTTCTGGGAGTGACAAGATAAATTCACATAACCAGGACACGTGACATGGAAGGGAGGTATGTGGTGGGGAGGAGCCGGGGAAGCCCAGTGTGTTCAGTCAAGGGACACAAACGATCAAAATTTCACAGCTGGGAAACCGCCAAGTTTTGTTCAGCAATGACTGGTTTCCCTGGCGATTTCTGCACAGGGCTAGCACTTCTACCTGGTGAACTGTCATTTGGACACAAGGGTGTATTAGACCCGGAGGGCTGGCCGGGCTCTGTACTTTTGTCCCATGCTGATAGAGGGGCACATCTAGCATACATGGACGCTTCTTAGATGCTTGTGAAAGTAGTGAATGGAATAGCACTTGGAGATCAAAGCTGTGGATATATTGCTGTCTTACACTTTTAAAACAAATGTGAAAGACGTTGTTTCCCCCATTCAGATTTTCCTTGCTGCTGCTGAACTTGGAGGAGTACTACTTTGAACAGCACACGGCTCATCACATTCTGCTCCAGGGCAGGGTCCCTGAAAGGTACGAGCTGTCAGGGCCCTATGGGCAGACGGGCCTTCTGATGTCGGGATTCTAAAACATTACTGTTGATCATATAGGGACTTCTCATTTCCTTCTCATGGGAGGGTCATGAGAAGAGTAGAGTGATAAGTAGCCCTCATAACTTCGAATATTTTTAAGGCTTAAAAAGCATTCACTCTAAGGGACCACCCGGTGGCGTGGTAGGTAAGGTGGCTGGATCTCACATGGCCAACCTGTGGTTTGAGTCCCAGGCCCAAAGGCTTGGAAAACACACTGCACAGGTATGTTTGCATGATCCAGATCCTGAGATGAAAATGGAAGAGAAGGGATTGTGGAGTGCTTTCTTACTTGCCCTCTCTCTGTTCCTCTGTCTCTCTCTGGTGAGTACATGCCTCCTCTAGCAAAATGGGGGGTGAGGACATTCATTCTAATTTCTCTAGCAAAAGTTGTGGTCATCCCAAACCAGTTAGATAGGGCTCCGATCCAGTCCATCTCATTTTTTGTGTGTCCCTCTTGTATACTCAGTGTATTGTGCTTTGAGCTATTTGGGCTACCTTGTTATAAAATAATGATTGTAAACCATAACAGTGTACAAAATCAGCACTTTCAAAATGAATAATGCAATTTGAACTAGAAGCAAAATCTAGCTTCTCTATATTTTAATAACTACAATTTACAAAGACAGATTTTTTTTAATCTTACCTTTTGAAAACTGTGTACAAAAGTGTGTAATTAAGGTTTTTCCCCCTCAGTTTTCTTAAGTTATAGTGGACAAATAAAGGCTGTATATATTTAGGTTGTACAATGTCATATTTTGATATATGTACATACTGTGAAATGATTACCACAATCAAATGCCTAACATAGTCGTCACCTCACATAGTTACCTTTTGTGTGTATATGTGGGGGGTGGTGAGAACATTTAAGATATACTCTCTGTGTAAATTTCAAGTACACAGTTCGGTGTTATTAACTACAGTCAATAGCTGTGCATTAACTTTCCAGAACTTACTCATCCTGCATTAAGGAGAGTGTGTGTACTTTGTCCACCAATCTCATTTTTTGTGTCTGTACATTTTACTTTTGCTTATTTTTATACCCTCAGGCCCTGGAAACTACTCATCCACTCTCTGCTTCCATGAATTCAACTTTTTTAGATTCCATACAAGGTCTTTCTATGCTTGGCTTTTTTCACTGAGCACAATGTCCTCTAAGTTTATCTGTGTTGTCACAAATGATAGGATGTCCTTTTTTAAAGCTGAATAGTACTTTTTATATGTATGTATTAGGTTGTCAGAAAAGTCATGATGCATTTTTGCACAGAAAATTATCTCTTATTATCTCTTATTTTCTTTATTCATCTGTCAATGGACATAGATTGATTTCAAATCTTAGCAGTTGTGAATAATGCTACAATGTACATCAAAGTGGAGATATATCTTCAACATACTGACATAACGTGTTTTGGGATCCAGAAATGGGGTTGCTGGATCATATAGAAGTTCTTTTTTAATGTTTTCTTTCTTTCTTTTATTAGAGATTTTTGCTATAGGGTATGTGCACTTACCAGAGAGACAGAAAGATACAGAGATACAGAAAGCAAGAAACCACCCACCAGGGGGATGGTCACACTCAATTTCTTCTCTTCCATTTTCCTCTCAGGATTTTGGGCATGTATGCACATGCCCCTGGTGTGAGTTTCAAGCCACCAGGTCTGGGACTCAAACCGCAGTCGACTACATGAAGTCCAGTGACGTAACCATTATTCTATCTGCTGGTCCCTTTTTTTTTTTCTGCTGGTCCGTTTTTTAAGATTTTTTTGACATGGGGTGTGTGGGCTCAGTGGAGAGAAAGAGAAACAGAGACCCGGGTGAGGGGTGTAAAATCACTCTCCAGGGAATGGCTGTGCTGCAATCCCTTCTCCTCCATTCTCCTGTCTGGATTTTGGGTGCACGTGCACCTAGCATAATTTTTAAGCCAGCAGGTCCTGGACTTGGACCATAGTCAGCCATGTGGGAGTCCAGTGCCTTACCCTCCATGTCAAATGCTGGCCTTTGGTGTTTCTTGAATTTTCATGGCTGTTCATTTCCATCGACATGCAGAGGTTCTTTCCCGTGTATCCTTGCCAACATTTGCTGTCTTTCGTCTTTTGGTAATAGTCATCCTAAATGGTGCGAGGTGATGCCAATGTGGTTTTCAGTGTGTTGACATCAAGGTGATGTCAATGTGCCTCCCTCCCCAATTTTTAATTAATTAATTATTTTTATGTGAGAGAGAGAGAGAGAGTGAAAAACGTGATGGAGATCGTTCTGCCGCAGCTTTGCAATTTGCTAAGACCACAGGGGTACACCGTCATACCTAGCCTGTTCAGGTTTGGCTAGGAATTAGACCCGGGCTTCCCATGCAGCCTCAGCCACCACACAGCAGTGCCTTCTCATTTGAACCACTGTGGCTGGGCTCCAGTATGTAGGTTTTTATTAGCTTCGGGAAAATCATGCATATTGGCCAAAACTAGCAAAATGCTCAAGCACGTTTCTTATTGAAAATTTGAAGAAGTCATATAATGTCCCAAGAAAAAATGACAATAATAAATTTTTAACTGATTTATTTGACTTTATGGTAGTAGACAGATAGTCTTTAAAATTACTTCTTTTCTTTCCTTTTTTTTTTTTTGGAGAGGTTTTTGCTATAGGGCGTGTGTGCTTGCCAGAAGGACAGAGAGACAGAAAGTGAGAAATCACCCCCCAGGGGGGATGGCCACGCTGAAATCTCTTCTCCTCCATTCTCCTCTCGGGATCTTGGGTACACAAGCACATGTGCCCAGTATGAGTTTAAGCCACTGAGTCCGGGACTCAAACTACGGTCAACTCCATGAGAGTCCAGTAACGTAGCCATTATGCCAACTGCTGGTCCCCAAATTGCTTATTTTCATGGAAAATTCCCTGAATGTCTATGAAGCCCAGAATCATTAAAAGCACTTTATGTGCTATATTAAAATTAAAATTTTTTATGTTTACCAAAAAAAAATCCCCTCACCTAATTGGTTTTAGATGTTTAGTGTCGCCTTCTGAATACTTCTTTGGAATAGAGGGAATTAAAAGTCAACAGGATTTATTGGAGAGGGGGTGCAGTCCATGTGTGTCGACCACGCAGGGCCTTAGTCCCCCTTTGAGAGCAGCTGTGAGGACCAGACAAGGAGCAGAAACAGAATGCAGGGTGGTGCTCAGTGAGTTAAGTCAGAATGGCAGTGTGTGCAGTCTCTGACCTCTGGGGAGGTGGCGAGCAGGGGATTTATGTTGCCATATTTTCTTTCTTTCTTTTTCAGAATTATTTTATTTAACTTTATTTATTCATTTACTTAACTTAATGTGACCAGAGAGGGACAGAGAAAGAGAGAGGGAGAGAAAGTGAGAGAGCAAGCCTCCTTATCTGGGACCTGAACTGAAGTCAGCCACGTGGGAGTCCAGCGCCCTTAATCGCCCCGCCATCTGCCAGCCCCAATGTTGCCTGCCATATTTTCTAAATTTCATACCTTCCTTTTTAGTTGTATTGTTGATTTTTCATTAGTTGATAGTTTTATCATCTACTTTCTGGTTAGAAGGTATTATGATTTCTTTGTGGCTTTTGTTATGTTCATTTAATAATTTTTTTGTACTTTGATCCCTAGGAAGATCAGAGGTTCCTTGAAAATATGTTCAAAATCAGTGATTTTTGAACCTGATGTAATATCCCAGCCCATCATTAAGGTAAATACTTTTTAAATGTGGACAGAGATGTTTCCATTTTTATGTGTATGTTTTACCTTTGCTTATTTTTATGATATTCTCTCTCAACCTTATCCAGATTCCTTTGAGAGATTGTATAAAAATAGGAAAACATGGAGAAAATGGAGCCAATAGACACTGTGCAAAGTATGTCATTTTCACTCATTTTAATTTTACCTGAACCAACAAGTTATACATATTTAATGACTTTTATCTGCATTTTAGGGCAAAATCTGGGAGAATTTCACTCATTTTCAGTCAGGTAAGAAGTACATAATAAGTTTCTTTTTCTAACCTGAATGAACACACACATATATATATATAGTTTAATGTGATGAAGTTATTTATTTGTAGAAATCCCAAATGAAGACCACTGGAAAGCTGTTTATATTCTTTTATAATTTAATCATTGAGAAATGTATTAGTTTAAAAATTCGGCCATTGAGAAATGCATTTTTCTGAAGATATGGTCCCCAGTGGGTTCCTTGATGTCCGCTAAGTGTGTGACGGCTGCGGACTGAGGGGCGTTGACAGTGTGTGAGTGTTGAGGTGAAGGGACTGCTGCTCCTCCTATAGCTGCTGGTCACTTAGAAGGTGGGAGGCCAGCACCATGCCACTTCAGTGTTCTCAGGGTGACTCAAAGCAAACACAGCCATGACTTGAGATGAGAAGTCTTGTGCCTTTGGGTCATGACCTTTTGTTCTTTCCAAATTTATTCTGTATCATTGAGATAACCCCTACTGTGCTCATTACAGACATTCAACACGGTACTGGCAATATAAGCTAGAGCATGGTTTTCTTCTGTCATATAATTAATTGGTCTATAGATACTTTTCAGAATTATAAACGAGAAGGGAGTAGAGCTCATCTTCCACTTTCTTTGGCTCTGGATTTTTTTCTTCATCATATTTAAAATGAAGGGGTTAGCAATGTTGTCTTGACACTGCGGAGCTCTGGGTCTTGGAAGTGTCGAGGTGTGTTCCTAGAATAATGGTTCTGTGGTCAAGGCAGTGTAGGAAAAACCATGAAAGCAGAGGTGCGGACTTGGTCGCTTTAGGACTCGACTCAAAGCCTCTCACTTATGAAATGCATCAAGGCCCTCAGAGAGGCAAATGGTGAGGAAAAGGGGGTGCTCCCAGCACTGAACTCTTGTTCACTGAACACTTGTTCATTTGTATATTGAAAATCATTTTACAAAAGCTGGGAAATAGTGGGTTTGATGATTTTGCATTTCTACCTTCTACTGTTCTGTTAATTTTGAGAAGAAACATTTTGCAGGCTGTCTCTGACTTCATATGGTTTCAACTGGATTTTGTGAGAACAGAGTCCTCTACTACTTCAGGAAGGGAGTACCATTATTACCACTGATAATGGTGGTAGTGGTAATAACGATGCCAGATCTGGTCTGCCTCTGTACTCTCCTGTGTAGAAGGATCATTACCTTATCCTGGTTACCTTATCCTGGAAAGTCTGAACCCTGAAAAGAAGAGGTATTTTTTTTTCAGTTGGAAGTAGGGTTTCCATGGTCAAAATATACATTTTATTGGGTCATCAGAAGTCGTCAAGACTTTTCCAGTGACCCAGTAGTTATTTCAGTAAAATTTTAATAACCTTGGGCCTAGAAATAAAGCCCCCAACTCCCTCTACCTATTTGGAATATTTTATAGACAAGTCCTCATATCAAACCAACTCAAAATCAGCTGAGTACCAAAGAGGCCTAGACCCAGCTACTCTTTCACTATTTTAAGTTCTCTGCGTCAGGTGCACAGGCAGGCAACTTTTGTGGGTTTTGATTATTTACTAGGTCACAGTGTCTCAGAAATAGGTCATCGTGCTTTAGATTTAGAGAGTTTTGCTTCTAAATTTTCAATTACTGCTAGAATAAAGAGGAGTGTGCCTGTGTTTGTGTGTGTGTGTTTATAAATAATAGTTTTAACCCAAGCATTCAGTAAGTCTTGTAGTCAAGGCTCTGGAAATACAGAGAAGAACAAAATACCCAAAGCCTCTCCCCCGATGGTCATTACTTTTGGATGGGGGAGGCAGATAATAAACAAACATCTTCTCTACTGTCAGGTAGTAATTGATGCTGTGAGGAAAATGAAAGCAGGACAGTAGAATAGAAAATGATAAGGAACGTTGCTGTGTTATTAGGTAAGAGTGATCAGGGATGGCTCCCAGAAACCCGGGAAGTATGAGGGAGTGAGCCCTGTGATTATCGTGAGCATGGCGTTCCAGGTACGGAGAGTGGCAGGGTGAGGCCCCCTTGGTGGGCACGTTCAACCCAGATGGAGGGTGTGGAAGTCTAGAAGGCTAGAGCAGGGTAAGGCCATGTCATGGAAGACCTCGTGGTAAAGATTTAGGTAAAAATACAGAGAGAAAAGCCCTTGGAGAACTGAAAGGAAGAGGCATGACATGATGATTCATGTGTCTTTGTCATCCTCTCTGGAGGCTAGATAGTGAGCATGTCGGGTAGGGCAGGGCTAGAAATGTGATGTCGTGTGGGGCAGGGCTAGAAATAGAGGTCCGTAGGGCATGTTCAGAAACCCAGGATGATTCTTCATAGGGGGATCCTTGTGCCTTTCATTGCAGTAAAGACCTGCAGAGGAGGAGGGTTGGTTCAGAATGTGACTTGGGATGCCTGTGGACCTCCGATGCAAGAAGCCCAGGAGACAATTGGGTTTCAGAGAGAAGGCTGAGGCTAGAGAGATAAACTGGGATGCTACAAGTTCCCAGGAACTTTTTTATTCTTTTTTTTTTTGGCGGGGGGGAGGTTTTCGCTATAGGGCACATGCGCTCGCCAGACAGACAGAGAGAGACATAGAGACAGAAAGCGAGAAATCACCCCCCGGGGGGATGGTCACACCGCAATCCCTTCTCCTCCATTCTCCTCTTGGGATCTTGGGCACGCACGCACACGCGCCCGGCGTGAGTTTTAAGCCACCAGGTCCAGGACGTGAACCGCGGTCGACTACGTGGGAGTCCAGCGACATAGCCATTACGCTAACTGCTGGTTCCCCCCAGGAACTTTTTAAAGCCCTGGCATGGGATGACATTTCCCAGGAACTGAGTGTGAATGAGAGGTCTGAGGACTAGGGTCCTACAGCTCTCCAGTGTTGGAAGCTGGCTGGTAGTCGGGTGCAGAAAGCAGACCAAAGAAGCAGCCAGTGAGGTGGGCAGGAACCAGGAGGTGTCAGGGAAGCCAGTGGAAGGCAAGACGCCATCAGCTCTGCCACATATTCTGAGAAGTGAGTCAAGGAAAATGAGAATTTGGTTATGTGGGGAATGCACGCCTCTTATGTGACAACGTGAGGAGTGGTTTCATTAGCATGGTGGGGATGAAAATCTGATAGGGTCCAAGAGAAAGTACAGTCAGTTTTTGCACGTAAAAAGGAACAGAGAAACGGCAGGAGGAGGATGTGAGATAGGGGAAGAAGGTGTGGGGGTTTTCTGTGGTGCATGCAAGATGGGAGATGGTGCAGTGCATGTTCTTAGGAGCAGAGTTTTTAAATAGCTGACAGGTGGAGGAGGGGTCCCCACTGTGTGCCCTAGAAGAGTGGCTGGCCTTGGAGAGCCCAGGCAGATGCTCTGTTGTAACAGGAGGAAAGACAGTGGTGAGGGCACCGACTATGAGAAGTGGATGGCTCTGATAGGTGCTATCACTTGTTCGGCACAGTTATTACTATATGGTGTGAGGACAGGGGACCGGGTGCCCAGATAACCACCAGAATTCTTTATGATAATGAATGTATTTCATACCACACTGACTTTGTTTATCCATTTTTTAGAAAATTTTCACTTAGATTAGCTTGTTTCCCATGTTTATCCAGTTACTTGGTATAAATGATGCCATTCATAAAACATCTTAGATATTTATTTATCCAACAATTGTTTCTATCTGTGACCTTGACAATTCTCTTGTTAATTTGACATTTGTTATTTAACATCAGAACTTTTAAGTCATACTGAAATTCAAATGCTTTTAGAAATAGAGATTATATAACAACTTAAAACCTTCAACTCATAATACCCTAATTATGGTTACTGTTTATAATGGAAAAGTTTGGTAATTCTTTTTTAAGTATTGATTTGTCTTTCTCAGGTGTATTTCATTAAAGAACATAATGTTGTTGCACCATATAAAATAGAAAGGGTAAGTAAAGTTTATCATATATTCCCAGCAATTTTACAGTGTTTTTGAGCAATAAGATTTTGTGATGCTATTAAGATCTTTAATCAAATAAATAACAATAGGTATTTAAAAGCTCATTACCTAGCAGATGTAACAGAATTACCCAAGAGAGCCGCAGACTTTATTCCAAGAGAATTCAATTAACTTTTGGCTTAAAAAAAAAAAAGTGCCTAATTGAAAAAAGAAAAAGCTTAAATGATTAGATTAGAAATCAGAATCAGAATATTCATCATTTATAAGGTGTTTTTATTGGCTATTACTGAAAATTTATTTGCCAATACATTACTGACATTTTATTTTTAAAAATATTTGAGAAATATTTATAGTTTATAAAGAACCCTTATTTGAGAACTCAATAATAATTTAGAAATACCTTTAATTGGGTAGATGCTATGAGACTTGAGAATGATGTTTGGTTTCCAGGACCTTTCAGGGAAACTTACACATTTCATTAATCATTCTGACCTTTAATTCTGTATGCTTCAGCTTATAGAGTAAAGGGGCAACTTGTACTAAAAGAGAGGGTTTTTGTGTTTGTTTGTTTGTTTGTTTTTTAATAGGATTAGGAGACAGGGCTAGTACTCCTTATAATGTCATCTTTGTGAGTTAGGAGAATCTGTCTGGTCTGGGCAAACACAGGCTGAACCTCAGCCCCAGTTGCAGCCTAGCATGCAGTTTTTAGCCAGCAGGTTGTGGAATGCACACACTGTATGTGCACTGGCCTTTGAGTTTTATGCATAAGAAACATTTACATGCTCTGATTAGTCAGAAATTATAAGCACCGATATTTAATTACACTCAGGTCATGCTGGCATTTGGCAGTGGGGTAGGACATTCTTCATGGTGTGGGGCTCTTCCTGTTATTACAGTCTCTTCCCATCCCATAAATGCTTCTAGTACACTGCTTCCCCTGTTGCTGTTGCAGCACCTGCTCACATTGACGGAACCCTCTGGGGGCAGTGGAACATACTCCCCCTTGTGTTGAGAACCAGGACCTAGGGTGCTCTCCCTCTACAGGCTCTTCTGAGACCCCCTGAAGTGCAAAGCTATACATGGCCCATTGAAAAAATAAGTGAAAGGAAATTAGAGTGAGGTTGTCTGAGCAAAGCAAAGCTCATTTGTTCCAATGTGATATAAAACAAAGGAGTCTCAGGTTAAAAATAAAAAAGGAAGAGAGTAATGGCAGAATAAGAAGCCTTAATCCCTCCTTCCTCCCGTGAAGACACTTATTCCACAACAAACAGACCAGTTCCCTTGTCAGAAAGCCAGAAATCAGTTAAGAGGACTCCACATCCAGGTGAGTGTGAAAGCAATCACATCAAAGCCATAGGAAACTCTGTGTCATCTCTTCACCATAGTCCATCTCCTGAAACAGGGTCATGTGGCTGACCTAGTGTCTGGTGTCTCTCTGAGGAGGAGAATACTGGACTATACATCCACTTCTGAAAATTCTGACTTTTTTGGAGGGGCTGCCTGAAGGACTGGTTTCTGTTTTCTGTCTCAAAATGTGGATGAACCCAGCATACTCTAGGTTCCCAGATGGCACTGAGAACCAAGAAGAGGTAGACATTGTGTTGCTCCTTCCGAGTATCCATGGTATAGCAGAGCCATCAGAGAGATAAAAGTCACAAGCTCCTGAAGGAAGAAACCAGTAAATCCCTCTAGTTAGGACATTATGTGCATATGAGCCGGGTAGACACATCCACAGGAAAGGTTTGAGAGGCCCCAGTAGCTCTAGCTGGGCTGATTGGTGAAGGTCTTTCCCTGTATGAAGTCAGATTCTAATGACTGAGGGAAGTAATTGTTTTTTCAAATGTGTAGATACAGCACAAAGTTACAGGGAACACAAAGAATCATAGGTCCAATCACCAGAACAAGATAAATCTCCAAAAACTAAAGAAAAGTAGGAAGCCAACAGGGTGGCATGGAGGCCAAGGTGGCTGAATTCCACATGGCCAACTTTGTAGATTGAGTCCTGGACCAGTGGTTTGAAAACGAGCCTGGGTGCATGTGCACATGTGCCCAAAATCCTGAGAGGAGAATGGAAGAGGAGGAATTGTGGTATGGCCACACACACACCTCTCCACCCCCCCCCAGGAGCTAATACCTCACTTTCTGTCTCTCTTTAGTTCTCTCTCTCTCTCTCTCTCTCTCTCTCCGGCAAGTACTTGCTACATGCACCTTATAGCAAAACTAAAAAAAAAAAAAAAAAAAAAAAAAAAAAAAGGTAGGTATATGAATTACCTGACAAAGAATTAAAATAAGTTATAAAGATACTCAGTGGGGTCAGGAAAGTGATGTATAGATAAAATAAGAATGTCAATAAAAAGATAGAAAATATAAAATACTGAACAGAAATTTTGCAACTAAAGAATACAGTAATTTTCACTGAAGTGAGAAATTCACTAGAGTTCAGAGCAGATTTGATCAGGCAGAAGAAAGTATCAGAAAACTTGAATACAGGTCATTTGAAATGATCTAGTCATAGAAGTCAAAATGAAAAAGAATAAAAAAGATTGGAGAAAGTCTTAAGGAATTAATGGGATACCTTCAAGTGGACCGAACACCTAGTATGGGTGTTCAAAAAGGAAAAGAAAGAAGGAACAGGAAATTATTGAAGAAATAATGGCCAGAAATCTTCCCAAACCTCAGGGAGGAGACGGACATCCAGATTTAAGTAGCTAATGCATTCCACTATGGAGCAGTCCAAAGATGCCCACACCAGGACACATCATAATCAGTTTGTCAGAAGCCAAAGGGAATTTTGAAAGCAGCAAATGAAAAGTGCTTGGTGGTGTGTAAATCAGTTTCAATTTTGGTACAGAAGTTGCTGAAAGTATTTAAAAAGCTAGAACTATAAATGTATGCTAAGGAATGCACACTATAAAAAGATGTAAGTTGGAATATCAGTAACAGGAGGGATGGAAATGTAAAGGTGTAGTTTTGTATGTGATTGAAGCTATCAGCTTTAAAGAGATAATTATAACATATTTTATGAAAGCCCCATGGTGACCACAAAGAAAATACTCATAGAAGATACACAGAAAAAAATGAGGAAGGAATCAAAGCATGTCACTACAAAATATCAACACAAAGGACAACAGCAAGTGAAGAAAAGAGGGACAAAATAACTATCAGACAGGAAACAACATAATAAATGGAATTAAATAGATTCTTTAGAAAAAACAGCAAAGGTATGTGCTGTCTACAAGAGACTCATTTTAGATTTAAGGGCACACATAGGCTGAAAGTGAAAGGATTAAAAAAATTCCATGCGGTGGTAACCAGAAGAGTTCAGGTTGGGGGACCAGCTTGAGGGTGCAGTGGTAATGCAGTGCTCTGTGGTGCTAGACCCACATGAGAAGGTCCTGGGCTCATGTCCTGAGGTCTCCTTGTATGTGCTGTGCAGGCACATGCATGTGTGCCTGTGAGCCAGGCCAGCTGAGGCTGAGGGTGCTTCATAGCATGGGGACCCACTTGGAGATGTGTATCTCTCTCTCTGCCTCTCATGGAAGAAATTAATAGATGAGCTTAAAAGAGAGAGAGAGCAGGGATGGCCATATGTATATCAGATGAGAAAAGCTTTAAGGTCACAAGAGATGAAGGACATTATGAAAAAGATAAAAGGGTCAGTTTACCAATATATACAACAATTACATATATTAGAGTGTCCAGAAAAACAAAGTCAATAGGATATATATGTGTGTGAGAGAGCATCAACATATTCATGATGATTGTATATATTATGAAAAAACTATAGATGGAATTCGGATTTTTTATGTGCCAAAATAAACTTGTGCTCTAATTACATGGAAGGCCCCTCGTGTGTGTGTACATACACTCTTACACACATTTAAGGGTGCATGTAGATGAAAAGAAGAGAGATTTATTTATTGTTAGGAATTAACTCATATGACTATCACTGAGTGAACCAGTGATGGGAATACCAGTCTGAGTCCAAGTCTGAAGCAAGAGAAAACCTACATCCCAGCGGAAAGAGGCAGAGAGAAGGAACTACTTCCTCCTTCTCCTTTACTTCTCTTCTGGCCCTCAGTGGAGGGATGAGGCTTGTGCACTTAGTCTACCGATTCAGGTGTCAACTCATATCCAGAAGTATCCTCACAGCACACTCAGAAATAGTGTGTACCTAGATCTGGGGCATCTTGTGGCCCGGTGAAGTTGTCTCATAAATTTAGTCATCATGGCATAGATGTGCCATCCTCTGAGTACTGAAAGATTTGAAACGATATGTATAGAACTGAAGGGAGAAGTAGACAAAATAGTAGATTTCAGTATGTTTTCAGCAGTGAGTAGAACATTCTGAGAACATCAAGAGGGAAGCAGAGGGCTTGACCGACACCGTAGACCATGGGAACCTAACAGACACTGCAGAGCATTTCACTCAACAGCAGGGGGCGCATTCTTCTCCAGGACCAATTGTGTGGCAGGTCACAGAACAAGTCTTCAATTTAAGAAGGTTGAAATCTTGCCATGTGTCTTTTTGGACAACAGTGGAATGAAACTAGAAATCAGGAGCAGGAAAAAAAAAATGGAAAACTCATAAATAGGTGGAAATTAAACAACTTACCCTCAAACAACCAAAGAAGAAATCAAAGCATATTAGAAAATATCTTGAGTAAAGAAAAACAAAGTGGGGCCAGTAGGTGCCGTAGTAGTTAAGGCTCTGGACTCCCACATTGCTAACCATGGTTTGAGTCCCAAACCCGGTGACTTGAAAATCATGCTGGGTGTGTGTACATCATGTCCAAAATCCCAAGAGGAGAATGAAGGAGAAGAGACTATGGCATGGCCATCTCCTGGTGGGGGTGATTTCTCAGTTTCTCTTTCACCATCTCTCTTGTGCACCTATGTGCCCTATGGCAAAAACCTTAAAAAATAAAAAAGGAAAAAGAAAAGCAAAGCAGCTTACTAAAACATATGGGGTGTAGTAAAAGCAGTTTTAAGAGGGACATTTATAGAGATAAATGCCTATGTTAAAAAAGAAAGATCTCAAATTAAAGCTCTACCTCCACACCTCCAGGAATTAGAACAAAATGGCAGACTAAGGCAGACTTAGCGGAAGAACATAATCACTGTAGCCGTGCATCCTGTGGGCTCGCCCTGGAGCTCTCCTCAGTGATGGTCGGGGGACCACATCAGGCAGGGGCATGCAGCCTT